GCAGAAGCTCCAGGGACCCAAGACAAGGTTAAAAAAAATGGAAGTTTTCTTTTTTTTTTTTTTTTTCTCCTTTCTTTTAAAAGTTTATATGGCAAGTGTGGGCCAGATGAGGTGAGACGGGTTTCTCAGCAGTGGGTCCTCTGGCATGAAGCACAGACTCAGTATTACCAAGATGGTCCATGCCAATCATTAGGATACTAATAGGCCCTGACAGGGCTCTGGGACTAAAGGGAACATCCTAGATGTCACTACCTGGAAGCATTGCTGCAGGGAACAACTCTAAGGAGCCTAAAGGAAAGAAGGAGGTGCAAGGTAGGAGATAGAGGAGACTGTTTATAGCTTTCTACAGCTGTCTGCATCACCTACTTACTGAAAGAAATATTTATTTCTGCACCATGCTGTTAAAAATTCCACTGAAAAAAAATCATTTGGGGTAATTTACATTTAAATGGAATTTGCTCATGAAGCAAATTATTTTCCTGGTCATGTTTAGAGTTTAGAGTTACTTTCCCTTCCATTTACCAGGGCTCCATCTCTTCTTTTCCCATCTCCACACCTATGCAATTAAAATATTCCTAAAAAATTAACTTGTCAAACTTCCTCACCACCATCCTTTTTCTCCTCCTCTTTTCCTATTAGAGCTCTTCTCCATCATTTCCAAGTGTGGTATGGTTTGCCATTTATGCGTGGGCTAGCCTGGAGGAAAAATCCCAGTGAAAAGTGGCATCTTAGCCTTATTCCACCATGAGTTATGCTTGTTTAGTTGACCACTACAAGCTCACCTCAAGGTCTTATAAAAGCACCTTATCTTTACTGTGTCCTTAGGGCAACAGGTGCCACTTACTATGCAGAGGTAGGGAAGAAAGCCATTTGTTTCTTTTAGCAGGGAAGACCAGCCCCCCAGACAATCAGTATGCCTGACAGCTCAGAAGGCTTTCTGAATCCTGATCAGATGCAAAGATCTTTGCTAAGACCTGTTGAGGGAGAGTGAATGAAAAAAAAAAAAAAAAAAAAAAACCAACCTGCTTGCAAACCTGGGATACTGCTGTCCATGACACACGGCTTTGGATGGGAAATGCCAACACCAGTGCTGCCTGCTTCTTGTCTTGCCAAGGCTAAAGCCTAATTTTGAGATTTCAGGGCCAGATCCTCAACTCATAGCAGGAAACCAATTCAGACATTCAGGGCTGGGTAATATCTGGGGCGCCCAATTTGTCCATTACAAGTCACTAACACAAGGTGGGTAACTAGTTAAAATATTATCAAAATACAGACTCAAAGCTTTTCAAATAATCACTAGTTACAAAGAACAGCTGTTTCCAATGTTGGTTAGATGGTGCACATGGAAGGCTGTGAGAATGTCAAAGGGGAGATGTAAAATGGACTGGATTACAAGGTGAAGAGAAGCCCAAGCGTTATTGAAATGCCAATTGCTGAAAAATAAGTGTTCAAGGTGTGTTATGTATTTCACTGCAAATAACTAACTGCACTGAATGGAGCCCAGTAACAAGGGACTCGGAGACCTCCTCTATGTGACAAGTCAACTGCACCACTTAAGAGACCAGCTGTGAACAAGATAACTTTGTTAACAAGATGCCAAAACACACACTTAAAAAAACAGAACACCACCGACTTTAACCTTGAATTGTGGGTCAGTACTTCTATCCAAGCTGCGTGCACACAAGAAGAAACCCAAAGCAACTCAATTACACTTAATCCATGGCAAAAACAAGGGTTAGCTGGGATAATATACATAGGCAAGCACAAACAAACATTTATTTCGATAGCTACGTCGAAGATCTGCTTTTCCTAATCCCTCACTACCATAATACCTGGGCAACTCACAGTAGGTGTATTTATCTTCCTAAAAGTTGGGAGGGCACAGACCAGAAGTAGAGAGCAGGTAAGACTTCCCGCCAGCTAGTCACCCCTGCCTTCCAACAGCCTGCTGCTCTCTGGAAATGCTGCTTCTGCAGAAAAAAAAAAAAAAAATGGGCTGCTGCTGAGAGGATTCTGCTAGAAAAGATACAAGAGCTTCCACAGTTGCACAGCCTAAATTAAATGCTTGCAAACAGGCAGGTCATCCTTCCCCCTTACATGCCATGTGGAGTCCTAGGCTTCTACAAGCACCATGTAAGGTTGCACCATGAGTCTGGGGAAATGGGGGAGGGAAGGTGAGAAAATTATCATGAAGACCAGATTCAGCTAATGCCAGCAGTGTCTTCTCTAAATAGCTGTAAAACACACCAAGAGGGGAGAAAATTAAACAAAATTAAAAAATGCAAAGGATGCAAGTTTCTGTGCATTGCCATTTGCACTGGTGGTACTGCAGGAATGTAGTTTCTGCTTGGAAGAATTTACAGTACAAAAGGGTGATGGGGAAAAAGTGGCACAGCAGCGGCGAAGCAACTTGGATTTCCACTGATACAGCACCAGGGAGGGAGAACAGGGCTTTAAGTTCACTGCCCTCACTGCTCAGCTAAACTTTTTCCTGATAGTCTCAGTACAACTCTTCAGAAACACCACAGAGGAGAGCAGCTGAACACAGCAAAGGAACAATACTGGAGGACCACAAAGCTCCCTCCTCTGCTGCACTCTAGACCTCATCCATAAAATACACACAACTCAAGAGCTTGCACCTTCCTATTGTCATTTCTGCCAAGCCCCCACAACAAACTTCACTTTTCTTTGCAAGTGGCTTTCACTGCTTTATAAAATGAGTGTATTAGTCATGAATAAAAAAAATACGGAGATGGGAAGAAATATTCAATGTACCACAGGCAGTCAATAAACAACAGAGGGAAAAAATTAGCTAGAGAGTTCCAAGCAGGTTAGTATTACAAAGCAACCAAATATTGGCTTTGACACAAGAGAAAGCCCTCCTGAATACAAATGTGTTCCATACAGTGACAAAAAAATACTCACCTCCAAGGAAATTAAACAATATATTGTAGAGCCTGGGGAAAGAAAAAAAGGTGGGAAAGAAGGAAGCACAAACACAAAGAGAATAAGGCTGCTGGAATCTGTTTCTTTTTTTTTTTTTTTTTAACAAAAGAAAATTTTATATTTTTGCCCTAGAAACCCAGTGCTCAAGAAAGCAGACCTAGAAGTTTTAACTTCATAACATTTCATCCCCAGAGAACTGTAATGCTGATTTACTGCTCAAAGGAATAAGGGTGCCGCAGAGTTCCAGGCAAGGTGCTTTTGCCTTTCTGAAGTTAATCCAGCTCTAAGGTGGATAAGCAAAAGGCCGACACTAGTGGAAAAAGTACAGCTGAAAGTGTGTGTGTGTGCAGATAAAAGGAGCTTTCTGAAAGCCAGTGTTCCTGATACAATGGAATAGTTTTTGTTCTGAGGTGGAGAATAAAAGGAGGGGGAAGGGGTGCCCACCTCAGCGGTACCAGGATGTGTCTGCTGGTTACACGTTATGCCCCAGTGATGCCTAATCAGTTAAATTAAAAACTGAAAGGGTTTCAAGGTGGATTCATTTCATTTTAAAGATGTCTACAACACATCAGATGAAATGTGGTCTAAAAACATCTATTTCTCTCTACTGACTGAACATGCAACTCATCTGCAGACACCTATTTTGTAGGCATCTGAAGTTAATGGTGGACTCATTTCACCAAGTACCAAAATAACCGCAGCACCTCATTTAAAACTCTGGGATACAAGGTTTGCAACTTTGCACCACTTTCTTCTCACTGTCACAACTGGAAATCTTACTCCAAAGAATGCAAATGCAAGCCCTGAGCTTCTGTACAACCTATGTTACCAATTAAAATAAATCAAAATGTAGCCCTTATAGTTGCAGAGGTAGCCTTTTAAACGTGCAGAAGATGCAAATGAGAGCAACACTGTATTCCAGAGCCTGCAGATTGACATAGACAGCACTTCAGTGGCTGCTCAAGAGCATGAAAACAACCATCAGAGGGAAATTAAAAAGAACAACAGCTTCGCTTCTCCAAAACTCTCCCTTAGATTCATGCTGGCAGCACTGTCCCTCTGTTCATACGGCCTCCAGGAACGAGGGAAAGCAATAAGCTCCTGTTTTTTGGTAACACAACAGTTTTTGTTAATGAACATGGCAAATATGTTCTAATAATACAACTTAGTGTTGCTCACAAGTGTTGTGCTATTGGCCTGACAGAAGAGCTTCTAGAGCCCTATTTAGCAGTCTCCTAGTTGAAGGGAGCCCTTGGATGTGCGTGGCGGTTCATCTCCCTCTCCCTTGTCTCCTTGTCCTTGTAAGCAACAAATAACCAGGGAGGAACTAAGCAGACACCCACCTAAATACAGCTATTTAGTGTCAATATGATGAGCCAACCATCTCACCATATAAAACGCGGGCAGTCCGGAGACCTCTGGGCATTCTGCCAATGAGCAGGAACATCTCTCATGGTTACTCCTCAAGGTCAAGAGGTCCCTTACCTATGACAGATCCTTGGATAAGTGATTAATAGCGTGCTGAAATTTTGCAGACTTTGCTAAGTTGCATTTCTGATTGATTTTGTATATAACACTTTAGACAAACCATTAAAGTCTAGGACTAAGACTGGATCTAACTGCACCAGACTCCGCAGAGGAGTTTGGAAAGCAAGGGGCCCACCCTGAACCTCATGACTCAATGGAGAACCTCCTTGAGGATTTTGTCTGACCCTTCCCTCCATGCAGGGAGGAAGTCACTGAATGTAGCTCACTATCAAATCTTGTTAAACCACTGCTTTATAAGCCAAACTTTATTAAAACTTTGGTTTTTGTCATTAAGACATACTGCTGCTTCTCTCTCATGAGTGAGGTGCATCACTCACCTGCACCAAGGAGTCCCTCCTTTGTGCCACAGCCAAGTGGCTGAGAGCAGGCTACACAGGCACAGTCCTCCTCTCCTTTTCCTTGCAAGGAGTTCTCTGGGAAAACTGCATTCAGGACAAGTTCACCTTTATCAGATATCATCAGCCCCTTCCTGGTTGCCATTTTCTCCAAACGCTACTCATGATGAGAGAAGAAGCAATGTGCATGTTGGTATCTAGGAAGCATTAGACATCAGCTGTATGGAGATGAACTGTACTACATACAAACCAAGTGCAGTTCTCTAGCCTGTAGGATACAGAAAGCGGCCCCTCCACCTGGAAAGGCTGTGCATGGCTAGGATGTAGTCTCCATCGAGGCAGCAGTACTTGCTAATGCAGCGGTCATTTATTCTGCGCTGTGTTGAAACCTCTTGGAGCAAGGTCCACCTTTCTCTCCCACAGCTGTATCATGCTTGTATAACACGAGGCCACAGTCAAGGCTCTTGGATGCTGCTGTGGTGCAAACAAATAAAAGCAGTCTTATGCAGACTAAATTCCGAAAAAGAGGCTGTCTGCTTGCCCACACGCAGACTAAATAAAGAGGGTTGCTAACCTCTCAATTCAGCATACAGCAGACACTGATCTCCTTTGGCAAGGACACGCTGCAATGGGGGAGCTACTTCAGGACACGGAAGCAGTACTTTATTAAAACAAGAAGATTACTCCTACCAACAAAAGGCAAAGGGACCCCAGAAACACCTCATTCTGCAAGAATGAGAAACAAGTTAATTTAAACCTCAGTTTCAAACAGTAACTGCTTTACAGGTTACTCACCTGAAGTTTCCTAGCCTCCATATAGGATAAAAAACAGACCACTTTAAAAAAAAAAAAAAAAAAAGTCTTCAGTGCAAATGTATATAAATTATGTGGTTATACTTTAAAAGCACTACAGTAAGTGAATGCAACAGTCACTACACTATGAACAGTGCAGCGGAAGTGGAGGAAAAGAATATACTTAAAAGCACAAGAGTTTTTCTCCCCCCAGGAACTTGAAAAGCAAAGGTGGAAGCGACTAGAGCTGAATGCATTTAAAAATAAATACATGTTCCTTGATAACATACATATCTGATAAATTTTATACACAAACACACACAGACTAGTAATATAATCTGAGGGGTTTTGAGGCATTTTCCAAAGGCAGGAAGTTGTAACTGTCAGGTGACTATTAGAAATAAAATTAATGGCAGTTAAAATCTTGAAAGAATATTTTGCTAAAGCATTACTGTGGACTAAAAATTCAAGAGTATAGGAAGGAAATACTTTTTTTTTTTTTTATGATAGTTAAAGTCCTTAAAGCAGGTTCTGTCTCTCAGGCAAGGGATATTTACTTACACAATTGGATAAATTTATTAGTATTATTACATTTTGCATCAGGACTTCAGTGTAAGGCATTGTAAAAGCAAAAAACAGTCCTTATACTACAAGTCATCCAGCAATCTCCCAGCAGCAACTCACAGGCCATGCTAGATGCCTGCAGTCTCTCCAATATGCAGAACTAAGTGCACCCGGAATGCAAGAACAGTGATAGATGGTAAGCAAGCATCCCAGTGTGCCAGAAATTCCATGTTTGGCAACAGCCCACAGTTGCTTCCAAGAAGGTTCGAAACCACTGATCTGAAGTATGCAACAAGAGACAGCAGAGAATAAAAACAGAAAGGGGAAGAGCACAAGAAGGGGGAAAGAAAACGTCAGCCAGCCTGACTAACCAGCATCGTAAGAGCCACACAGCACCGCAGAGCTGGAAGCTCAGCCAGGTCCCCGTGGCTATGGCAGATGAGGCTCTGGGGGCTCGGCAGCTGCTCTGCAGGCTGCCCCATGCTACCATCACCGCAACCACAACAGCTAAGCAGCTACACTCCTTTACCTGAAGAGGTTAGGAAAGCAGCCACGCTCAGCCGAGCCATGCACAGTTATATTGCCTCCAATTTAAAGGCAGATCCAGAGAGCAATTGTACAATTTGCAGCAGAGGTAGGAAAGAAATCCAGCCCTCATGCATGGCAGGCTGCTCCTTGCTCACACTCATGTTTTGCCATTCTCTAGTGCTGGTAGAAGTACAACAGTATTACACCAGCATCCCCCCCAATTTTTGTGATATACATAGCCTGAAGGAAAGTGCATTACAGAAAGGTTTAGTTTTCTGGTATGAAATGAAATTTATAAACCAAAAATTATTCACAAAGATCAAGAAAAGCTTCAAAGGGGCCACAAAGCCAGCAGGAAGCAAAGTCATTTTTCTTACCCACATGAGCAAAGTAAACTCAGAGAAAAAGTCATAAAAATGGACTTTATTTTCATTCTTTGAAAACACTCTTCCTGATGAAGTGCCCACTGTCAACTGAAGATGGAACCTGATAGTGAGCAATTTTTAGATACTCAAAGCAAGATACCTTAAAAGGGACCTTTTCTTGAAGTAAGAGTGCTGGTGTTCTAGGAATTCAGACCTTATAAGTTATTAATTGCTTTACATGTTCCATAAGCATAAGAACATTTCCAAGAAGATTATATTTCTGATAATAAAGGCCTTTATAAACTAACAAAGAAGGCATTTCAAGATGAAGTGGCTGAAAGAAAAATAAAACCAAATCCTTTCTGCTTTAAACAGACACAAACATAGACTCTGGTATTCTCCAGCAGCTCAAAACACACAGCAGGGGCAATACAAGGCACAGTGCTTCCTGGGGCAACACCCTACAAAGCTCTTGGCTTCTTCACTCTCTGAAGCCTAACAACAGCCCGAAGCCTAACCCAAGCCCAATCATTGGGGTCACGACACCTACGCCGCTTCAACTGCCAGTATGCTCCTAGCAGCACTCCGGATACTCTGCTACAGTTTCTTGCGCCTGTCCTTGGTAGTGCCACTTCCCCTGGGCCTCTAGCTTTTATCTCAGCAACCTAACCCGAGTCCTAGCCCTAATCCTACCCCTCACAATGAGGTCATCACACCTTGCGCTGCTTTAACAGCCAACATTCCCCTAGCCGCAGTCTAGATGGGATGCTCTGTTTCCTTTTACCTTATCTTTCAGGGCTCCAAGCTTTCTCTCGCTCTCTCTCCCTTGCCCTACTTTATTCCAAAAGCTCCTGTCAATAGACCTTGTGCTCTCTAAAATGTAAATATGCTCTATGCAGAAGTCTTTATTTTACACTACATTTCCTTTGGCCTGCCCTTTCTAGGGCCACTCCTCAGGGGGCTCTACGCTTTCTCTCTCTCTTAACCCTATCCCTACGCCTAATCCTAGTTCTAACTCTATTCCAACCTCGAAGGCTCAAGTCACCACATTTAGTGCTGCCTAAACGGAAATATGCTACCTTATGTCATACGTACCTAATGAGGAGGCTGCAAGAATTGCTCTTATTGCCTCTACATCAGAAGCACTTTACCATGAAACAATCAAAATATGCTAGAACTTGGAGGGCTTGGTTCCCCTTCTCAGTTGTGCTTCTATTCAGATGAGTGACTTCTAACATTTCAACACCTACCTTTAGTCTTCTCTCTTTAGGTCAGGTACCATCTCATAGTGTCAGTATAGAGAACCATTGGTTATTGAGCAACATCTAAATGACTTCACTGCTTAAATCACAAATTTTCCCCTCCCTGCACCTTTCAACATAAGGCATGTGCTAGGAGTCACAAGCCGTGGGAGTCACTAGGACATGCCACACCATTCCTTGGAAATAACTGGCTAAACACAAACTGAAGTAACCGGCAAAACCAAGCAGAAAGGAAGCAAATTCAGCAGGCATCAGATTGTTTTTGTAACCTCTTCATGGTCTTCGAGGCCCTCACTCTCCCCACCTACACACAGTGCTTTCCCTGCTTTGGGGAGCATGAAGAGGTTCTTGTGTACTCAGGGCTGTCGTATGAAAACAAAATTGTGTGCTGATAGTCTTTAAACCAATTTAATGAAGTAGTTTCCATTCCACCTTCCTTCCTCCCAACATCATCTTCTCCTCCAAGCAGGAATTTTGTTCAGGTTAATAAGGCGGTGAGAGAGAGAAGGAAGGGAAATTAGAGAAAAAAAAGTAGTGAGGCTAAAAATAGCCTTTTTTCCATTAAACAAGAAAAGCTATGAATAAACAGCTTGGAACTGGAATGCTCTTAATCTGCCCACCAAATTCCTACTCTGCTTTCTTGTTCACTTCTTCAAATTTCTTTTCATAAGGATCAAAAACACAGAATTATTTCTGCAGAGCCAGTGTTATCCTTGAATTGGCTGGTTGCTTGCATCCTTTAAGGTAACTGGTGCTGTCATGAGGAGAAACAGGTTGAGATGAATGAACCCAAGACCCAGTGCAAGATTCTGAGCTGACAGAATACTGGAGCAGTACCCTTGTATCCCAAGGATCAAGATTTTAAAAATAAATAAAAATTAAGAAAAAGCACATGAAGAGATCACAAACATTTCTGGTTCATTTCTCTTCAATGTCATGCTCCTCATATCCGCCTCTTCACTAAAGGCACTCACACTGTTATCCCCATCCTAAACACAGGTCGCATCTCCCTGGCAGCAGTAGCTGTTGACAGCAGAAGAGCAGGGTGATCAGCCACCCTTTCCCCCCGGGCTGGAAGCCAAAGCAAGGTTGGCTTGTCTTTGCAATGCAGAGCCAAACATTTGGCTTCAATCTATTCTGTTCCCTACATTATGCAATTAGCAACTGAGCAGATCAAATCCCAGAGAATATCCTTGCAAGGTGAATATTTGAGCCTGATTTTATCCTATTCTCTTCCTATTGCGTTAATAACTAGTGAGATTCAGGTAATGTCATAAGATGGACAATATCCTGATAGTGCAGACAGAAATCTCTTGGTGAAATTTCTTTTCATTCTCTTATTCCCAGTTGCCCACACCATGAGGCACCACAGCATGCTGCCACAGACTGCTACAGACACTGCTGCTGATACCCAATACGAGCTATCTTTAAAAAAGAGAAAAGAAAGAAAAAAGAAGACTCCTTCCCTTTTGCAGCAAAAGAGCACTCTAGAAGGAGAAAGAAAATGTATCACTTTCATCTCAGAGTTCAGAGGGAATGTTTTATAGCTGTCAATATTATCAAAATCCTACTCGTTGACACAGCAGGGATAGCAGCTATCTTGAGGTAAGTTGTGCAACCATGAAACAGCCAAGCTGTGAAAAGAATTTCACCTGGTGACATTTGGACGGCAAGGTAACAGTCTCTCCTGTGATGCCAAAGTGAAAACCAACACCCTACATGCTGGTCAGCTGCACTAAGCAACCAATCACACAAGGCGAAGTGCTACAAAACAACCTACTGAAGGAGCCTCAGTCTGAGCTTTCTGTGCCTCCTGGTGTGTCACATCCAGGCAAGCACTTTCCCCTCGCTGAGGGGAGAGAATGCTCAGGAGGGGCCAGCAGACACTGCGGTGCCATATCGACACCTCAATAGCACTGTGCAGATTGTAACACAAAATCTTCCCTCTCATTTCCCATCCACAGACAATCCTTGCTCTTTTTCATCCCATTTTGGCTGCTAAAGAACTTCAGAGATCCTACTTGGGCTGTGCAGAAAGAGTAAACAGAAACATCCTCATAAACACTGTATCATCTCCTTACTGTTCTAGCAAAGCATTCAT